CGGAAACGTATTATCATTACGGGCTCGACGAACATAGAACGGCAATTATAATTAGGTCGGCGCACGATGATAAGCTCCCTTCTGGGAACGCGTGACCGTTGATAAAACGCTGGTGACATTTTTACCCGTGATCACGAACTTCGGCTGTACAATGACGTGCCCCGTGGAAATAAAACGCCGCTCTCCGCGGAGGAACACGGCCGGCTTTTTCGGAGATTTCGCGGCGTTTATCGGATCGGGCACGAATCGGGGGGGCTCTGGGATTCTTTTCGATGAGACTTTTTAGCGCTGAGGAATGTTGACGGTTCGGGGAGATCGGAGATTTGTGGGTGGAATACCGAGGTGAGTGAGGTAACTGTGGGAATAGGAAGAAATTAGTTGATTGGGAGTATTAATGTTACATATTGTAGGTGTTCAGCTATAGATTTTAAAGGTGATTGAATTTTATACTCTAAACTTAGCACTGAAGAGACAACAAACATCCACATTAAATAACGTTCCCAATTAATAATAAATATCATCATTCTTCTGCAATTTTGGAGATTGGAAGTATCAACGTTACAAATTATAAATCTGCAACCATAAATTTCAAAGCTAGCTCAACTTCATCCCCTAAACTTAGCACTGAAGAGACACCAAGGATCCATATTGCATAACGTTCCCAATCGATGATAAACATTATCGCTCCTCTGCAATCTTTGAAATTTATAGTTGCAGATCTATAATTTGTAACGTTGATACTAGCAACCTCTAATCTAGTTCAACTTCATCCCCTAAACTTAGCACTGAAAAGACACCAAGCATCCACATTAAATAACGTTCCCAATGATAAACATGATCATTCCTCCGCAATTGAAAGACAAATCTCGAAGTTATCGCGTGAAAAGGAAAAGCCGTCGTTCGAGTACGACTTTGACGTGGTTTCCGGGAGCAGCGGCGCATCGAGGCGGGAAAAGGTTCGCAACCTTGGGGGCCCAGTCGTTGGAGAACGATAGCGGTCGCGCAGAAGTCACTTATCGGATGAAGGCCTGTTCCCGAAGTAGGTAGGAAGAAGTCGGCTAGGAGAGTGCGGTTTGATGTGGTGTTTAAACCACGGCTGAAGGTACGTCCATTAAATCAATGGCGGGAGCCCCTCTGGCCTCTTTTCCCCGGCGAAAGGAAAGTTCAAAAGACGTTTTTGCCACGGGGAATACGCGCCGGGCAAATACGGTACACATCGGCCGTGTTTTATGAACCGGCAGGAAGATAGGATTTCCGTGGCGCTGATTTAGTTTCCTGCCGCTCGGAACCTACCTTTTCGATTTACAAGTACAAAGGTCACTGGGGGTGAACGGAGAAGACAGGACTTTGAAGGTCCAGATTTTTAGCGGAATATCAGGTGATTTTGGAGAATCCATAGAAATATCTTTAATCTTTCGAAAGCTTCTATTTTATTGAATTATATACTGTGTATTAATTATATTTTAAAGGCCAGACAGATTTTTAGCAAAATATTACGTGATTTTAAAGAGTAGATCGAAATATCTTTGATTTTTGAAAAGCTTCTATTTTATTGAATTATGTTCTGTTTATTAATTATATTTTAAAGGTCCGAGAGATTTCGAGCAGCATATCACGTGATTTTAAACAGTCGATCGAAATATCTTTGATTTTTCAAAAGCTTCTATTTTATTGAATTATACTCTGTTTATTAATTATATTTTAAAGGTCCGAAGATTTTTAGCAGAATATCACGTGATTTTAAAGAATCCATCGAAATATCTTTAATCTTTCAAATGCTTCTGTTTTATCGAATTATATACTGTTTATTAATTATATTATTATTTATATTTGATTACCTATTGCCTGTTCATTGCATTGTTGTTTCTATTGAATTAGCTATTGCTTATTTATTATTTGTACGTTACTATCGGTTACTTCGACAATACCCCGTCGTTTTCCTCCGTTTGCAAGTGTCAAAGGTGATAGCCAAGACGATGCATTTATAGATAACGGTCCGCTTTAGGGACACCGAACAGACAGCTACATTACGCAGAAAATACAGAGCCCGTTCTTAAAGGATTAATCACAAAAGAGTAGACTACGTCTCCTGATAAATGGAACGCCATGACAAAAGACGGCGCTCCATTTATCCCAGAAATATGAAGATGCTCCGAGGAATAGGAAAAACATTTCTCACATTAAGAAACACCGTCGGAGTGTTTTTCCAACGGAATCCCTCCCGCGCTCCGATTCGACTAATCCCGCGTCGCCATTGAAATCCTTCAGAAATCACAATTTCGCATCGACCGAACCTTCGAATCGATTCGCGACCGGTTCCGTCGAAGAAAATCTCGAATAATCACCGGTTACCTCTGAAACGCAAGAAACGCGGAAGACGGAGGACTCCGATCGACCGTCTTACCATGACGTAATAACTCGTCATTATACGGATGAATCGTGAAGCAGGAGCCTTTGCATCGAAAGCAACCATGGAGAAACAAAGAGACACCGGATAGAGGAAGTCGTAGAAAGGATATCAAAGTCGGACGCCATGCTACGAAGGATCCCATCGATGGGTATCGATTTTTGAAGACCGTAGCCCCCTTTTCGTTATAAATCCGACCGAGTCAACGAGCAGAAACGAGGAGAAGGCCTGAAAGGATACCCGGGAAACTTTTCAAACGAGCAATCAGTTAATGCCCGAGTATCAGAATGTCATGTGACGAGTCATCTCGCTGGCAACGTCGTTTCCTCGCTGGAGGAAACAAAGGGTCGCTGTCTTCTTCGTGAAAACTGGCCGGCCGGATACCGGGAAGCCGAATGGAATCGAGGAAAGACGGGAGACGGGACGGTTCGGAATAGTTGTAACCGTTCATCCCTTTAAGCTCCGTATCAGCGTCCCACCGGAAGTCCATTAATAGGCTTCTCGATGACCCCGTATCAAAAGACGCTTGGATCGCGTTACCCGAGACGACTCGTTTCGCGATTGCTTTTAGCATCGGAGAAGTTATCGAGGATGCTTTGACTTGTAGATTGTCGGGATTGTTGGCGTGGATATTATGCTGCTGTTGAGAATAGAGATTGAACGTTGGTGTCGATAGGGGCTGGAGTCGATGGAGATATGGAAGATTGTCTCTGTTTTTGTGATTAGTAAGTTTGATCTTTTGCAGTTGAGAGGTGACTAATTGACTTGATATAGTAAAATTAGAGTGTTATATATTGTATTAAGTTTTGTGTAATGCATCGATATGTGAAGTATTTATGGGAGATAGCTTTGTTTCTTAAGTTACGTATGTTTTCTTATTAGTTCGTTTGAAATAGTGTCGTCCCATCGGAAAATATCGAATATTTCTAGTGAAGAGCTTCTGAATCGGAAGGGTTAATAAGTTTCCTGTTGTGAAGGCATAGTGCAGAGTTAATTGTGGATTGTTAATAGAACTACCAAGCAGTCGAATGGAGTTGACCTAATTCCCCGATGGAAACCATGAAACCATCTATCGAGATTTCGAATATACAATTCAGTTTACTCGGTATCAACCCTTTGCCGATGAATATACTTCGAAACGTACGAACCTTTAGCAGTTGAAGCTAAATTACATGTCAACCGCTTAAACAATAGAAAAAACAGAGACTACGTGCTGATCTCTTAGTAATTAAGTAACTAAATCGTCTGTTTTTTTAAACCAATTCCTTTAACACGTTGAATGCCATGGGGGTCACCGGTGACCCTCACTTTCTTGATCTTTTATTTTTCTTAGTACAAAATTCGGATATATGGAAAATTGAACAATTTTAGGGTAGCTTCTCTAAGAATCAGTAAAATATTTAATATCACAACTGGTGCAATATTAGAGCCTACAGAGTTCAAAGGGTTAACCCTTGGCAGTAAATTATATTTTATTGCAACCTCTACCCCTTTCAACAATTTTTCTATATTTATTTGTAGTACCACAATTGTACCACTTAAAGGTAACATTTCAGTGACTCCCAAATATTGAATAAATAAATGCGTCATATTAAGCTGTAATCGAATGAACTAACGTCGACGTGAACCTCAAAGTGAGAAACCAAGTACTTCCTCCATTTTGTACATCTTGCACCATGAAATCGTGCATTCAACGTGTCAATAACATTCCAAAGAATGTCCTCTCTAAAACTCCAATAATCGGTGTCTTTGATCGAAACCAGCGTCAAATAATCACCGGAGATAATTGTCCGCGCGCAGCCATCCGTCAACCGGGTTCCCAATGATCGAACGCAGCCGACGCTATCCACGTAATCCGGCCACGATCAATCAATTACGATTCTTATCCAGTTAGCCCGAAGGAGCAGCGCGGCACCGCGCCGCGCCGGGATTGCCGAAGAAGGCTGCAATCATTATCGGGAAGTAGAACAATCGCGTTTTATCGCACGGGTGGCGATGCCTGATAAATCATCGGGAAGGATGCCGGGGCCGGCAATTTGCCACCAGACTGTCATTACGCCGGCCGTTGCGCTGCATGAATCACCGTGCTTCATTCCGCGCCGGGCCAACGTGTATCGTCCGCGCTGAAAGAGGGGGCGGCAGGCGGGAGGGGAAGGTGGACGGTCGTATAGAAGCCGGCCGAAAAAAAGATTGAAAGTTTAAGCGAGCGGAGGGTCGGTCGATCAGCTGAGCAACAATTTGTCGCGATGTGGGCGGCTGGAATCTTACATATCCCTCGAATGCCGGCCATCCGGCGGTCCGTGTTGGTGGCGACACGTGCGGACGCTCGTGTGCTGCGCACACACGCGACGGAGGAAGACGGGACCGGGGAAAATACACGGACACGGGCGCGCACACGGACGCGGGAACCGATTTGTCCGGTCGGATCGGAGAGAGAAACCGGAGTGGATGTCTCCGCCGCTGGCTTTTCGCCATACGCCCACGCGGCTCCTCCTCGCTCCTCGCTCTTTTTCCTCGTATTCCTCTCCCACTGTCTCCGACTGTTCTCCAAACATGTCCCGAACTTAGAACAACGTCGCCACGCTAATCCCACGGATATCCAAGCAGACGCGCGCGACTGCTAGTCGGTCTTCTCCCGTGTCCCCTTGGCCGGCTGCGGAGAGACTCGTACGCTTACCGTCGGCCCCCGGTTCTCCGCGTTCTTTACGCCGCGTACTCACGCGGATTAAACGGAGGGAAAAAACGGGAACTCGTCTAAACCCGGATCACCGGGCAGACTCGTTCGCTCCACCCGCGGGAATGATGGTTTAATTGGATTGCGCTCTGGCGTTGGCCGATGCTGCGAAGATGCGTGATCGGGTGGACGCTGTTTGTTGGGGGTGGAGGTGGAGTGTCGGTGGCTGAGATCTAATTTCGGATGAGTGAAGTCGAATATTCGGAGTGTAAGAGTTCAGTCGGTTGAGTTCAAGAGTGCGAGGTCAGTTGTTCAAGTTCAGTTGTTCAAGTTTGAGGACTCTGGTTCGAATATTTAAGTTTGAGTTCGATTATTCGATTATTCCATTATTTAACCAAGATTTAACCAAGACCTGACCAAGCTCAATTATTCAATTATTTCATTATTCGATCATTCGATCATTCGATTGTTCAACTATTCAATTATTGGATTATTCGATCATTCGATCATTCGACCGTTCAACTCTTCAAGTATTGGATTATTCGATCATTCGATCATTCGGCTGTTCAACTCTTCAATTATTGGATTATTCGATCATTCGATCATTCAACTGCTCAACTATTCAATTATTGGATTATTCGATCATTCGATCATTTGATTATGCGACTGTTCAACTATTCAACTATTCAATTATTGGATTATTCGGTCATTCGATCATTCGACTATTCAACTATTCAACTATTCAACTATTCAACTATTCAACCATTAAACCATTAAACCATTCAACCATTCAACCATTCAACCACTCAATCACTCAACCATTCCACCACTCAACCATTCAACCA